GGTCCTTTGCTGTTGTTCTGGGATTGATTTGCACTTTTCGCACCAAAGTACGTTCATCTCTAGGAGACAGAACGCGTCTCCTTCCTGAGCGGTATGACGGCTGCGTGGTCCCATGGTGTTTATACTTGCATACTATTGTTTGTACAGATGAGCGTGGTACCTTCAGGCGTTTGGAAATTGCTCCCAAGGATGAACCAGACTTGTGGAGGTCTACAATTTTTTTCTGAGGTCTTGGCTGATTTCTTTTGATTTCCCCATGATGTCAAGCAAAGAGGCACTGAGTTTGAAGGTAGGCCTTGAAATACATCCACAGGTACACCTCCAATTGACTCAAATTATGTCAATTAGCCTATCAGAAGTTTCTAAAGCCATGACATCATTTTTTTTGAATTTTCTAAGCTGTTTAAAGGTACAGTCAACTTAGTGTATGTAAACTTCTGACCCACTGGAATTGTGATACAGTGAATTATAAGTGAAATAATCTGTCTGTAAACAATTGTTGGAAAAATTACTTGTGTCATGCACAAAGTAGATGTCCTAACCGACTTGCCAAAACTATAGTTTGTTAACAAGAATTTTGTGGAGTGGTTGAAAAATGAGTTTTAATGACTCCAACTTAAGTGTATGTAAACTTCCAACAGTATCTGGTAGTACAGTCAGCTTGAATAACCTGCTGTGCTGTGTTCATTCATAAGTTTCAGTCCAGACTGCAGACTGCTATTCATGCCACAGAGAATCACTCTGAAGAGAGTTTTAATCAGGCTACAGTACACATTTTCTCAGTTAGAGTTGAATTACATTTCCCATATGTCCATAATTCAGAAGAAATATGCCTTGTGAATGTCAATATGCGATACTTAACATTGTTCAAGGGGCAGTTAAGTTTCATCATGAAGGTGTTAATGTGAGAGTGCTGCTGAAGCCTTGAAACACACAGGCTGCAGATACACCATTGGCAACAGAGTAAAAAATAACCCTAAAACATACAGGGGCCACTTAGCCCTGTCATTGCATGCTGTTGGATAACTGTCGAAGAGGCCCCATAACGCATCAACTGTCTGAGATGATAAACATTCCTCTGACCTGCTGCATCCATCTACTTCATCTCACAGCAAGGAAGTGACAACTACTCAGACAGACAGACAGGTCTACTGGTCTGTGAGGTTAACTACCCTGCCCCACCCCGCCTAGAAAATGATGGTAGGGGAAACACTGGGGTAACTAGCCTGTTGGTGCTTTATCAGAGACTTTGAGATCAGATGTAATCTGGGTGGGTCGTGGTCGAAGGAGGTACCCAACTATCCATAATCCAGCTGTGAGTTATTTTGTAACTCTGTTTTCTCTTCTGTCACTGTGCTGCACTATGCAAAAACTCTCCGTGCTCCATGCGCTCGCTGAGTCCCATGCTTTAGGGACGAGCCAGGGCTGTAGCACAGACCTGTAATTTGGATTGGCAGAGGATGCTGTATAATCATCATCCTCCAAAAAGTTATTCTGAACTGCCAGAGAACAGACAGCCAATGGGGCGACCTGGCTCTGTGGGGAACGCCAAATGAGTGCAGTGACTGGGAAAAGGAAATATATTATTTTGATCCGGGCAGATGGCAACATCTGAGCGCTGGGCTAAGCTGCCGTGATCGTCGGTTCATAATTACACACAGTGGGGACATCATGGCCACCAGTCTATGCTTCTATGGTTCTCTGCTGACTCTCTTCAGTATTTATCAACATGTTGGGTCAGACCAGACGACCAAAGTCTATCTCTCAACACAGATGTAAATGAGTTAGGCATGATGATTACTGAGTGACTAATAGGGTTCCTCTGGCTCTGAATGGTTATATCACCTGTCAATCTTGCCACTTGTTCAATAGGATCACTGAATGGTAGGACACCCTATGCCTACACCAGTCTGGGAATTTTTCATTCAAACAAGTTTAATAGCTACTCTGGCGGTCAATTAGTGGGTAACCACAAACTACACAGGGGATTTCCTTCTGTCTGTAACTTTTATTTTCTCAAGTGAGGACATAGGGTGGACACCTCAAATATGCATAGTTCTACACCACTTTAGGGTGTGAGAATTGTTTGGTATTTTGAGTGATCATTGGTTGTTTTATGCTGGGATGACAAATGCCTATTTGCTATATCCAGAATCACTAATATCACAGCTATACAATACCTTGGGATCTCTCTCTCTCTCTCTCTCTCTCTCTCTCTCTCTGTCTCTGTCTCTGTCTCTGTCTCTCTGTCTCTGTCTCTCTCTGTCTCTCTGTCTCTCTGTCTCTCTCTGTCTCTGTCTCTCTGTCTCTGTCTCTCTCTGTCTCTGTCTCTCTCTGTCTCTGTCTCTCTCTCTCTCTCTCTCTCTGTCTCTCTCTCTCTCGCTCTCTCTCTGTGTCTCTGTCTCTGTCTCTCTCTCTCTCTCTCTCTCTCTCTCTCTCTCTCTCTCTCTCTCTCTCTCTCTCTCTCTCTCTCTCTCTCTCTCTCTCTCTCTCTCTCTCTCTCTCTCTCTCTCTCTCTCTCTCTCTAAATAGAATTGTATCAATCTGACTAGATAAAAATGATATATATACAGTTGAAGTCGGAAGTTTACAAACACTTAGGTTGGAGTCATTAAAACTCGTTTCTCAACCACTCCACACATTTCTTGTTAACAAACTATAGTTTTGGCAAGTCGGTTAGGACATCTACTTTGTGCATGACACAAGTAATTTTTCCAACAATTGTTTACAGACAGATTATTTCACTTATAATTCACTGTATCACAATTCCAGTGGGTCAGAAGTTTACATACACTAAGTTGACTGTGCCTTTAAACAGCTTGGAAAATTCCATAAAATGATGTCATGGCTTTAGAAGCTTCTGATAGGCTAATTGACATCATTTGTGTCAATTGGAGGTGTACCTGTAGATGTATTTCAAGGTCTCCAGTAGTTGATCTAGAAGTATTGGAGAGACTACAGAAAGATAGGGAGGGTGTTGATCCAGCTGATTTCTTGAAGAGACATCTGGAAACTGTGTATCAGGATTTTGTGGACATTTCAGCATTTGTAGTGCAGGAATGTGGGGTGGAAGTCAGGAAACGTATTACAGATCATCTGGCTGTATATATGGCGGAGCTGATGGCCATACTGTTGGCATTGCAGTGGGTGGAGGCGGTAGATGAACAGGCTAAACAAGCACTTAGTAGTGGGGATGTTGATGTTGAAGTATCAATGAGCAAGGCAGAGGCAAAAAGACGGATATACAGTTGAAGTCAGAAGTTTACATACACCTTAGCCAAATACATTTAAACTCAGTTTTTCACAATTCCTGACATTTCATCCTAGTAAAAATTCCCTGTCTTAGGTCATTTAGGATCACCACTTTATTTTAAGAAAGTGAAATGTCAGAATACTAGTAGAGAGAATTATTTATTTCAGCTTTTATTTCTTTCATCACATTCCCAGTGGGTCAGAAGTTTACATACACTCAACTAGTATTTGGTAGCATTGCCTTTAAATTGTTTAACTTGGGTCAAACGTTTCGGGTAGCCTTCCACAAGCTTCCCACAATAAGTTGGGTGAATTTTGGCCCATTCCTCCTGACAGAGCTGGTGTAACTGAGTCAGGTTTGTAGGCCTCCTTGCTCACACACGCTTTTTCAGTTCTGCCCACATATTTTCTATAGGATTGAGGTCAGGGCTTTGTGATGGCCACTCCAATACCTTGACTTTGTTGTACTTAAGCCATTTTGCCACAACTTTGGAAGTATGCTTGGGGTCATTGTCCATTTGTAAGATCCATTTGCGACCAAGCTTTAACTTCCTGACTGATGTCTTGAGATGTTGCTTCAATATATCCACATAATTTTCCTTCCTCATGATGCCATCTATTTTGTGAAGTACACCAGTCCCTCCTGCAGCAAAGCACCCCCACAGCATGATGCTGCCACCCTGTGCTTCACGGTTGGGATGGTGTTCTTCGGCTTGCAAGCAGCCCCCTTTTTCCTCCAAACAGAACGATGGTCATTATGGCCAAACAGTTCTATTTTTGTTTCATCAGACCAGAGGACATTTCTCCAAAAAGTACGATCTTTGTCCCCATGTGCAGTTGCAAACCGTAGTCTGGCTTTTTTATGGTGGTTTTGGAGCAGTGGCTTCTTCCTTGCTAAGCGGTATGACGGCTGCGTGGTCCCATGGTGTTTATACTTGCATACTATTGTTTGTACAGATGAATGTGGTACCTTCAGGCATTTGGAAATTGTTTCAAATTATGTGGATATATTGAAGCAACATCTCAAGACATCAGTCAGGAAGTTAAAGCTTGGTCGCAAATGGGTCTTCCAAATGGACAATGACCCCAAGCATACTTCCAAAGTTGTGGCAAAATGGCTTAAGGACAACAAAGTCAAGGTATTGGAGTGGCCATCACAAAGCCCTGACCTCAATCCTATAGAATGGGGAATGGGCCAAAATTCACCCAACTTATTGTGGGAAGCTTGTGGAAGGCTACCCGAAATGTTTGACCCAAGTTAAACAATTTAAAGGCAATGCTACCAAATACTAATTGAGTGTATGTAAACTTCTGACCCACTGGGAATGTGATGAAAGAAATAAAAGCTGAAATAAATCATTCTCTACTATTATTCTGACATTTCACTTTCTTAAAATAAGGTGGTGATCCTAACTGACATAAGACAGGGATTTTTTTTTTACTAGGATTAAATGTCAGGAATTGTGAAACTGAGTTTAAATGTATTTGGATAAGGTATATGTAAACTTCCGACTTCAACTGTATATAGTGAGAAACAGTATAAATATCATCCTATTTACTTGGGTAATTGGTATCTCTGTCAGTCATTTTCAACCTATAGGTATTTTTCGTGGTTTTTAGTGCGTTGCTCTGGCCTTGATGATCTGTGCTCCCTCTAATGGTGATCAGAAAAAAGTTCCACAAACCACTTCAATTATTTGATTTACTCAGCTATAACTCTAGGCTATTTTCTGTCCCGTCTGTTGCAGGGTTCGACCTGATGGAATACTTCAAAGTGGGAAACATACTGGGATCAAGGATTGATGAGGGCCAGAGCTCCTATGTTCGACTTGGGACCATGCCTATTGTACAACAGACAGAGTGAGTGAACTATTCTGTATTTGCTGTGACAAATATCATGCAATATCGCGCAGGCCACAAGGCAATGGCAGTCATGGCACAGGTGTAATATTTGGCCGTGTGCATAGACTGGTTGGTTGTTTAGCAACAAAACCAACGTGTGCGCAACTATGGGGCAAAACAGACTGGGAATTGGCTTAGATTGTTGACAACATGTAAACTATATTTAATATCCAAATATTTATTGAAAACATAATCACATTTGCACAATGAGCACTTGTTGTCTCTCAAATACATTGTTACAGTTGTTGGTTAGCTAGCTAGTGAATTTTTGCCATATTAGCACAGACATGACATTAGTCAAAACACCTCAAAACAGGTATCAATAACAAGATACAACGAGCCTCCTATGATTCCCCACATAGCAGCTTCTTGTCATTGTTGCTAGAGATCTGACCATTCAGAATCATAACACCACAATGCCTTCTGCCCCATCGATGCGCACATCATTTTCATGACGTTGTCAGCCAACCCGTCTATACCGATGATGAATCTAAACCCTGGTTCTGGCTAGAGGGAGTACAGCTAGGGCTGTTACGGTGACCGTATTACTGCCACACAGGCGGTCACTAGACATGACGGCAGTCAAATTCCACCTAACCGTTTAGTCACGGTAATGTATTTAAGTACGTTGTTGTAGTGGGGACAGTAACATTAGTAATCTCTAAAAATTATACTTTAAGGAAACAGTTTTTTATAAAGTGTATGTATATATATATATATATATATATATATATATTTTATGTTTAGCTCACATAATATAATTAAAAAATATGTATTAAGGTGTCTGTAATATAATACATGTATATAAACAAATGTACACATTAATGTATTTCTATAGCTTCCAAAATATTTTTTATAACAGTGGAGGCAAGATGGAGGCACGGTGGCTTCAACACAGCGCCCCCTATCAGTTATCTAATGTATATATAAACCATTGGTCTATACAAGCCTTGAATTACCAGAATGCGTAATAGCGCTACAATTTTGTGCCAGTTCTTAGATGTTATTCAATTGAAGTCAATGTATTTTTCTCTTTAGTCTAAGTATTTTTCTTCCTCATTAATTATAATGTTATAATTTTTTATGGTAGTTGAAAAGCTAAACGAACAACAACAGTTAGTGATGAATAGCTCAGTTGCAAGCCGATTGATCAAATCAAAGTTTATTGGTCGCGTACACAGTTTAGCAGATGTTATAGCGGGTGCAGCGAAATGCTTGTATTACTAGCTCCTAACAGTGCAGTAAAATGTCAAACAAGTTCACAAATAATGAATAATCCAAAACTAGAAACAAGAAATCAAGAATGTCAGAACTAATCTAATTAACAACCCAAATAACACTGTATCTAAATCTATACATATACTTTATATACCAAACAGATATAGTAAGAATGATCTGTAGGCCTACAGCAGTAGATATACTACAGTGAGCTATGTCAATAATCCAGTGATAATACATGCATGTAGTGTGGATGAGGTGATTGATTGGCAACCCTCTGTGCTGTTGATTTGTTCCAGAGACGTGTTCCCTCAAGGTCTGCCAGATGAATATGCCTTTGTGACGACTTTCAAGTTCAGGAAGACCTCGAGACGGGAGGACTGGTACCTCTGGCAGATCTTTGACAAGTATGGAATTCCACAGGTGGGTTATCATAGTGGTGTGTGTGTCAACAGACCCCATGCTGAGTCCATTTGATTGCCAATTGCAGGGCTGGCACACAGACAGAGATGCATGACTATTATTTTCCTGATCATTTATGACATTGAATATCATAGAACATGTTATATTTGCCTATCACATGCATATGAGAATCCTTTCATTATTAACATATTCAACTTTATTCACTTGATCCTTCCACCGTCGCTCCTACCCAGGTGTCTATCCGTCTGGACGGTGAGAACAAGGCAGTGGAATACAACGCAGTGGGGCTGACCAAAGACGCAGTGAGAGCTGTGTTCAAGAACGAGGAGGTGGACAACCTGTTCGACAGGAACTGGCACAAGATAGCCCTGAGCGTTGAGGCCAAGGCTGTGTCTCTCTACCTGGACTGTAAACTCATCCAGACCCTGCCCATCGGGGACAGGGAGGATATCGACATCCACGGGAAGACTGTGATCGGGAAGAGGCTGTACGACAGCGTGCCAATTGATGTGAGTGGCTGGGTGTTACAAATATCAGGGTTGAGGTTAAGAGCAGTGGGAAGGTCAGGGTATTGGAAGTATGCTACAGCATGTGGTGGAACAACATGATGGATTAAAGCTACAATTTGTAACTTTTTGGGCAACCCAACCAAATTCACATAGAAAGGTGTGATATAGATATGTCATTCTCATTGAAAGCAAGTTTAAGAAGTAGTAGATCTGTTCTATGTGCCCTATTTCTTTGCTTCCCAATCTTAAGTTTGTTTTTGCATCTTTTACTTTCGGTTTTGTACACCAGCTTCAAACAGCTGAAAATACAATATTTCTGGTTATGGAAAATATATTTCACAGCGATTTAGATGGTACAATGATTCTCTACACTGTACTTGCTTGTTTTGTCACATAAACTGAAATTAGGCGAACTATTAGATTTTTAGCAACCAGGAAATGGCATCGAGATTTCTGCATAGTGCATCTTTAAGGAAGAACTGTTTATATTGTATTTCTAGACTAGTGTCCATCTTGTGATTCTGTGTTCATTTACTGTACTGTAGTGTACATTTTGCTTACTTTGTGACTTTCTGTCCCTGCAGTTTGACCTTCAGAGGATGATGATCTACTGTGACTCCAAACACGCTGAGCTGGAGACCTGCTGTGATCTGCCCACTGGGCCGGTGAGTCAGACAGTCAGACAGACAGGGCACCTGTCTCTGTGGTAGGCCACTCCAGGAGCATGTCTGCCATGGTTCTCATACTCACCTTACAGTGGTGAGCCACCCCAGTGAATCAGCCAATCATCTGTCACTGTGGTGGGCCTGGGCCCCTCTCCTGAGAGACATTTTTCCCTTTTCTCCTTTTCTCTGTCCTGTCAACTTACCTGGCTCACCTTTCCACGGTAACACTTTTAAATTCCAGTGCCCCAAGAAGGTGGTGACGGAGGCCCCTCCCATAGAGATCCCCACCCCCACCCCTGCAGGGGTGGAGCAGCAGAGAGGACCCCAGGCGGTCAACTGCTCCTGTCCCGCTGGAGAGAGGGTAAGATGCATAGGTCAAAATTCAATCATAGGCCATAGCTCCTCTATGCCTTACAATGGAAATGTGTTTGACGGTTTCCAAAGATCTGTTTATTTAATGTTTTACTCATATGCAAAAGAGGTCTCATTTTCAATGTGACTACCTGATGAAATAATGGATCAATAAATGTTCCTTCCCCACAGGGAGAGATCGGTGTACCTGGCGTTGCCGGTCCCAAGGGTGTAAAGGTCATCTAATGCTCATCTTAAGCCATATCTCATGTGTGATACAAACAATATTCCTATTTCCTAGATCTATTTCTCTGGGCTCGTTGTTGTGCTCTGTCATAATGTCACATGCCTACTCTTACAGGGTGATACTGGTGCCCTGGGACCAGCTGGACCTACTGGCCTCAAGGGAGCCAAAGGAGAAACTGTATGAAAACATTACTGTGATAATGTCAAACATACTAATGCCTCATTTACATATATGCTATGTTAATTTGACACTGTTTCTCACAGCAGGAAAATAATCCTGCAGCAACAGGAAATGTGAATTGTTAAGTGGATTATAATTAATGGACTTTTGTAGGGGTTGATAAATATTTTCGTTAGGGCAAATCAAGTCTGACATTTTAAAGTGGAAATTAACAACTTTAGAAGCCTTTTTAAACTTTGACTACGCTACAATTTGCATTTCCTGTTGAGCTGCAAAATTCTCTGCGACAACAGAATATCAAATGAAGATAGCAGATCTGTATGGGCCTGACATTTGAAAGACAAGCAGTTGACATAGTAAACAGTCATAGTAGCACATACAGTGGCTTGCGAAAGTATTTACCCTCCTTGGCATTTTTCCTATTTTGTTGCCTTACAACCTGGAATTAAAATAGATTTTTTGGGGGTTTGTATCATTTGATTTACACAACATGCCTACCACTTTGAAGATGGAAAATACGTTTTATTGTGAAACAAACAAGAAATAAGACAAAAAAACTAAACTTGAGCGTGCATTACTATTCACCCCCCCCCCCCCCCCCCCCCCCCCCCCCCCCAAAGTCAATACTTTGTAGAGCCACCTTTTGCTGCAATTACAGCTGCATGTCTCTTGGGGTATGTCTCTATAAGCTTGGCACATCTAGCCACTGGGAGTTTTGCCCATCCTTCAAGGCAAAACTGCTCCAGCTCCTTCAAGTTGGATGGGTTCCGCTGGTGTACAGCAATCTTTAAGTCATACCACAGATTCTCAATTGGATTGAGGTCTGGGCTTTGACTAGGCCATTCCAAGACATTTAAATGTTTCCCCTTAAACCACTCAAGTGTTGCTTTAGCAGTATGCTTAGGGTCATTGTCCTGCTGGAAGGTGAACCTCCGTCCCAGTCTCAAATCTCTGGAAGACTGAAACAGGTTTCCCTCAAGAATTTCCCTGTATTTAGCGTCATCCATCATTCCTTCAAATCTGACCAGTTTCCCAGTCCCTGCCGATGAAAAACATCCCCACAGCATGATGCTGCCACCACCATGCTTCACTGTGGGTATGGTGTTCTCGGGGTAATGACAGGTGTTGTGTTTGCGCCAGACATAGCGTTTTCCTTGATGGTCAAAAAGCTCAATTTTAGTCTCATCTGACCAAAGTACCTTCTTCCATATGTTTGGGGAGTCTCCCACATTTTAACTTATTTTTTTCTTTCAGAAATGGCTTTTTTCTGGCCACTCTTCCGTAAAGCCCAGCTCTGTGGAGTGTACGGCTTAAAGTGGTCCTATGGACAGATACTCCAATCTCCGCTGTGGAGCTTAGCAGCTCCTTCAGGGTTATCTTTGGTCTCTTTGTTGCCTCTCTGATTCATGCCCTCCTTGCCTAGTCCGTGAGTTTTGGTGGGCGGCCCTCTCTTGGCAGGTTTGTTGTGGTGCCATATTCTTTCCATTTTTTAATAATGGATTTAATGGTGCGCCGTGGGATGTTCAAAGTTTCTGATATTTTTTTATAACCCAACCCTGATCTGTACTTCTCCACAACTTTGTCCCTGACCTGTTTGGAGAGCTCCTTGGTCTTCATGGTGCCGCTTGCTTGGTGGTGCCCCTTGCTTAGTGGTGTTGCAGACTCTGGGGCCTTTCAGAACAGGTGTGTATATATACTGTGATCATGTGACAGATCATGTGACACTTAGGTTGCACACAGGTGGACTTTATTTAACTAATTATGTGACTTCTGAAGGTAATTGGTTGCACCAGATCTTTGCTTCATAGCAAAGGGGGTGAATACACGCACCACTTTTCCATTATTTATTTGTTAGAATTTTTTAAAACAAATTAATGTTTTCATTTCACTTCACCAATTTGGACTATTTTGTGTATGTCCATTACATGAAATCCAAATAAAAATCCATTTAAATTCCAGGTTTTAATGCAACAAAATGGGAAAAACGCCAAGGGGGATGAATACTTTTGCAAGGCACTGTAGCTTGTTTACCTCATATTTGAGTTTTTGTTGTTGAAGTGTTTGAAGTATATGATTTAAAAAAATCATGTTTAAACTTCCTGCTAGATGATGTGTTAATCTCCGTAGATATTAGACTTAGAAGTTTCTGTTATTTTTTGTTGCATGCACCTCTTATCTTTTCCGCTGCCTTTTCTTTCTCCAGCCTCGATAATAATTGATCCTTGTTGATTGATTATTTGCAGGGCAAAGTAATATCTGTCAAGGGAGACAGAGGTGAGAAGGTAAGATCATAGTTTTGACAGTCAATCTCCTCACATGTCATAATAATAATAAAAAATAAAAAATAATAATAACATAACAACGCATGGGCATCATCATATCCTAACCCTCTACAACCAAATATGTCTGTCTCATTGGACCTATCACACACAGTTAACACAGACAGAATTACATCTCCTGAAGTAGCACTGTATAATTTTTTTTTTTTTAGGAATACCACAACATTCTTTAGGAGTAGGAAAATGGTCCTACATGTCATAGTGAGAATTACAGGACTGTTGGCCACAGAGGAAGTGTAGCACAGAGGACAAGCCCACACAGATGCCCCCCCGCTCCGTTAGAAACACACACTTTGGGTCTGTTAAACACACACACACGCACACACACACACACACACACACACACACACACACACACACACACACACACACACACAATGGGTTGGCCCTACGTGGCATTGCCAGCTGGGAGCTATAGGATATAATTTCCCCCTCAGCCCAGACCAGGCCAAGCATGTAGCATACAGCCAGTCCAGACCACACTAAATCTGGGTTCAAATAAGATTTGTGTCCTTTTTAATGCTTTTCCTGTGCTTGAATGAGTTTGCCTGGTGGAAAGTCCCAAAACCATCTGACACTCCAGGCAGGGCTCAATCAAGTGCTCAAAGTATTTGAAATATTTGAAATACTATGTGAACCCAGATCTAGTCCAGAGGAGGATACTTAAGATGGCCACAGTGTGGGCTGGAAAGCAAGGCCACACTTCTCGCATCTCTAGTTGAAATGCACTTCAAGTTATGTTATGGTGACATGGCGTGGTGGTGGAATTTCAACTCAATATTAGTAAGGTGTTCCTAATGTTTGGTATACTCTGTGTACATCCTCAACAGACTAGACTAGACGATCGTACAAAAGCGATTTAAAGTATTTTGTGTATAATGTATTTTCATTATAGGCTGCCATTGGTTGTATGAAGACGTTTTGTTGCAATGTTTCTCTCTTTTGATGAAGAAGTGACGTGCGTCAAAGTGATACAACCTCTGAGAGTAATGAAAGGGTAACATTGGTTTATGAAGTAAAGTCACAGTAAAGTATTTCTGGTTGTCGAAGGCTTAGTGGCACTATGTAATTAAACACTCATACATTTTTTTGTTTCTTTCTTCTAAGAGTTAAAATTATTTGGAGGGATTCCTTGGCAAAAAGAATGACATCAGAGCACAAACCAAAACTACAATGTTAAAAGGCTATAGAAACTTTCTAAGCCATTGTTCCTTGAGTTTGAGGTTGGGGTTGGGTTGGCTGTGTGTGAGTGAGGTTGAGTTAGGGTTGAGTTTGGCTGTGTGTATGAACTGACCTCTGCGTTGAGAACACTGTGGGTCTTCGAGAACCGGACCGGACCGCTGTTACCATAGTTTGGCCCCCAACGCCATGGCTCAAAAGTTGAACGTGTTTGAACTGTTTGCCCTTGCTTGTTTACGTGCATTGTCTGTATTCTCTATGTGAATAACTGTCTGTTTTGTCCTAACAGTAATCTACTAATCCCTGTTCAGGAAGTGAACCCCACCATGTTGTCTCACAGCACCTCGTCGCTGTCTGCATCTGTTGTTACGCCATTACACCTATGCATCACCGGTGTCCAGCCACTCTAACCTCCTCTCCTCTCTCTACAGGGTGATCCTGGTAGCCAGGGGACATCCGGTGACAAAGGATCCAAAGGGGAGAAGGTGAGATGATCCTAAAGAGTTTTGCTTTTCCACTGTTCTGTACCTCTCATGACATGTCTGTCACAGAGGTGCTTAATGAAATGGTGAGGCTTGACATACTGTATCTGTTCTGCTGTTTGTCTGCAAGTAGACTCTATATTTGGACACATACAATAGACAGGAATGAAATACTTTTTAGATGTTTGCGTTTTAAAACCAATTCCAGGGAAGCAGTGGAGCTGCAGGTCTTGCTGGGAAAGATGGATCTAAAGGAGAAAGAGTAAGAGACAACCACCTTACACTAATATTCTCCTACAATAAGTTACTGTAATTATAATGTAAACATTTCTGATTAACCTCTGGATCTTTCTGCTTTATTGTGACAGGGTGAATCAGGACTGGCAGGCGGTCAGGGATTACCTGGACCTCTGGGACCAAAGGTGGGTGATCGTTCTATTTCTCCTTGTAGATTCCATATAGGTCTCGGACAGTATACAATAGCCAATGTACTCTCATGACTACATGCAATCTGCTCTTTGCAAACCCTTTTCTTGTGTTTGGATTTGTGGCAGGTTAAGTGAGAGTTTAAAGAATGTAGGCAGTAGAGTTTTTATTCGGTTTTGTCTACTCTGATATCAAAGACAGCCTTGTTCTTTGTGTTCTGTGTCTTGGTGGGCATTTGACATTTGATGGACAATTACCTCTGCTTGCTATTGATTTCCTGTGACTTGGTTGGCTGACTTCTGCTGACTTCCCTTGTCTGAGGCAGCTGGAGAGGGAGGGAGAGAAGGGGGAGAGAACGCAAGAGGGAAAGTGGGGGAAGAG